CCTGTTCTATTAAAAGGCACCAGAAAACCATTCTACTGATTTTAAGTCATGGGAGGTGGTACTAACTAGACAATCTACAATAATGTTCAGGGTATGAATTATGCATGAGCTACTTGGGTTGATAGACTTTATGTCTGTATTGTTGAATAATTTCTAGGTTTGAAGTGAGGCTATTATACTCTTTGAAGATTTTCTTGCTGTCTGCCAAGTTTCTTCAAAATATTTAGGCTCCTCTAAGAATAGAAAACATAGTATGTTGTTTTTATTAATGGCTCAATGATGTTGATGTTAATGGCACTTTGATGTTCTATCCTAGAAGACAATTTTACTTGCTGCTTCTTAGTCTTCTCTTTTGTTTTATTGGAATTGGAATGCAGTGGCTTCTTCTGGTTCATTATATTGGCCACTGTCAAGTTTTCAACATCCATTGAACTCAAATCACCACAACAGGGAAAATTACCAAACCCCAAATAAATCAAAATAAATAACTAAGCTTTGTTTAATGCTGGAAAGAACAAAGCTTAGAAGAATCATAATAAAGAGATTTTCTCATCATGAGCTTAGACATTCTTCTCTTGCTCAACAAAACCCCTTTTATTAAAAGGTATGTGCTAAAAAGAAGGAAAAACTCCAGCAAACACAGTGAATTTTTAAAAAATTGCAGCAAAATATACCATTTGCTATATCAGCAAGTGTATATACAGATTGCATGCATACCTAAGGTAAGAAAGCCAACCAGAATGCAGTGGTTTGCATTTTATAATACTCTCCAAGGTGTCCGCAAATAAACAAACAAAAAATAAGAGAATGTGGACTCCAAAATATTCAGTGTATGACAAAACCAACACATCAACATAGAAACTTTGAGGAAAGCTTGGTTATGTTTATGTACTCTGCGCATGTTGTTCATACACACCAACAAAGCTCAACAGGCCACTCAAACTAATACTGGACTAAGCAACAACTACAGGAGGATTAAAAAAAAGCAAGTATGTCTATATAAATTCATGTAGTTTTTTTGTACCCCTTCCCATAAAAAGTGCTGAATATGATTGCATGTTTTGCTTTTACATCCCACCTATGAGTCTTTTGAAGGCCACGCACACAGGCTTAAACTCACCCACACAATGTTCACCTTGCCCATAGTTATCGCTACAAAAATCTGGCTTTCCCATTGACTTTGCTTTTCAGAAGGTCGCAAAAGCTGATCACATGACTTCAGGACACTGCAGCCGTCATAAACACGAACCAGTTGCAAAGCATCCAAATTATGGTCATGTGATCAATGGGATGTTGCAACAGCTGTAAGTGTGAAAAATGGTCATAAGTCACTTTTTAAAGTGACATTGTAACTTTGAACGTTCACTAAATGAACTGTTGTAAGTTGAGGACTAACTGTACACCATGTTTCTTGAAATGTCTACACCAGCCCAGTTTGCTGAAACTCTGTACCCATTTTCAGTTATGCAGAAGTTGAGGATTGAGAAAAATAATTACAGGGTAGTTTTAGGCTTCTATGACTTGGGATGAATGTTGAAAGAATCCAAAAGAAGCATTAACTCAGGAAGAAAGAGAAACGTTAGCACTCAAGGTTGAATACTGGGGCCTCAACTTCATTGTTAAAAAAAATGCAAATAACATTAATAATATTAAAAGAAGAAAAAGAAATTGGGGAAAAAGAATTTCAATATTTCAAGCTATCCAGCTGCCGAGCACCAAACCCTTAAAAAGCTAAATCAAGAAGTGAATCTTGAGGTGTATTACAAGGTGTGTGAATTACAGTGTGTCGGTGATGATATTACTACATTTACCGTATTTTCCTTCCAGCTTTCTGCTTAGGACTCAGAAAAGGGCTATATTAAAAAATAAAAGTTTCTTTCACTAAGAAAAGGACAAGCCCACATTTAAAGAGAAAAAACATCAAGTGAGTAGAAATAAGTTGGCATTGATTTATTTATTTATTTATTTGGATTTGCTGTTCTAAGTGTTCTTTAGAACATGCTTTTGTCTCAACTATGCACTAGGTCTCTTTTTTTTAAAAAAAGTTTCTGATATATTTGTGCCATAACAGTTTAAAAATTGGAATACAAATACTCTAAAATCAGCTCAAGGCAAATACATAAAGCTGTAAAAATTCTACTAATGTGATTCTTAGGCATGTATTTGGAAACTGGGCTTGGAAATTGCCTGAAGGCAAATAGTGCAATCCCAAGGCTAAGATAGCTCTTCCCAATTAAAGCTCTTTCAGATACCTTGGATTATAACTTCCAAATTTCCAACCACTGGTTCTATTAGCTGGGAATCACACAATTTGGAGTCTAACATATATAAGAATGGGAGCGTAAGAGAGATCTCTGGGTCTGACAAAGAAATAGGGATATCTGAAAATATTACTAAAGATGAGCAGATGGATGTTCTAATGTCAATCTTATTTGGGAAAAGGGTGGATAGCCTATTCTGGAAAAAGAAGTGCAAACAGTTCTCGGAGATCTTTGATTCACTAATGAGTACTGAAGTTTTGGGCTTATTCAGTTTCTCTGATTCTCTACAGCAGGACTGTCTAATGAACCAGTTGCGTCACACGCTGGCCACACCCAGGCCTGGTTTAGAGAAGGGGGGTAGGGAAGTTGTGATATGTCATGTGACACTGCCATGATGCCACAACTTTGACACCCCTGCTTTATAGTAACCTTTACCTTCTTCACATTAAAGCTAACCTTGTGAATCTTTCTTTCTGGGTTATAGTCTGCTGTTAGGGGGGCAGACTGGAGATAAAGTGGTAAGAATTTGGCTCAGCCTTGCCAAACGAAGGCGAATCAGCATCCTTGGGTACCTGTGCAATTATGTCTGCAGTTTCAGAATAACTGCGGCATTTCTTCACAGCAGAGCGAGCCAAGAAATCCTCAACCAATCTGATGCCGATGCTGTATCCCCTGACCAAGGAAAAAAGAGAGAAAAAAGGTGAAGAGGTGTCAGCAGGGATGGGATTCTACTGGTTCGGACCGGTTCGGGCGAACCAGATGTTAAGTTTCCATCTGGCTCGCCGAACCAGTATTTCAACCAGAAGTTGCAAAATGGGCCTAGTTCCAGCTTCCAGTGGGCCTCCAGAGCCTGGGGAGGCTGTTTTCGACCTCCCAGAGACTCAGGGGAGGCCTCCGGACCCTTGGGAAGGCGAAAAATGGCCTCCCTTGGGCTCTGGAGGCCCACCAGAAGCCAGAAACAGGTCCGTTTCCATACTTCCGGGAGTTCCGGTAGGCCACGCCCATCATGGCCACGCCCACCCAGCAACTGGGAAGTGAACCGGTTGCTGGGATTTTCAAATCCCACCCCTGGGTGTCAGGTGAACTTCCTGACAGTTAACGTGAATATAAATGGACATATGACACACACTGTTTCAAGCATAAAGGTAGGATAAAATTCATAGATAAGATGCCATGGCAAATTTTCTACAAGAGGATTATAACAACAATTTGTTAACAGAGCATTCTGAAACTTTAACCTCGGCTTTATTATTATTATTATTATAATATTGTTCTTCCTGCCAACCATTTTGTCATTAATATAGTATAGTATAGTCAATAATTTGCAAATAGATTTACTTGTTTAAACATTTTGGAGGGAGGCTGTTTTGCAAGGGATGGGAACCAATATTGTAGTAATGTATTAATCAGTATTCAGTTAGGGGGATAACGTGTGTGTATGTGTTGAAGTTTTTTTTCTTTTTAATGCACTCTAGTTTTTAGTCTATTTTGGGGTTTTTTTGAATTTTGTATTTTAACATTCTTTTGAATAACATTTAAAAAAAGGGCAGGATAAAATTCATAATGTAAATAAAACAATGGATGCAATACTCTGGAGAAGAGGTGCATTTCGAAACAAAGAAAGAGTATGGTTCCAATTTGAAGAAAGCAGTATTTTCTGGGAGTTGGGGCATTTACTGTTCTTTAAAGGGAAGAAGAAAGAGAAATTCTTTAAAATCTAAAAACAAATATTCATTTCCTTTACTCTACCCACAACAACCATGATTAAAGGTACTGGGAGAAACATCAGGCAAAGCAAGTTCAATATTGCCTTTCCTTTTATTTTTGCAAAACAAGTCACTTTCTATAACTTTCCAACCACAACATTATGGAGGCAGAGAAAGAACATTAGCACTTTAAATGTTTACTTTTTGGCTTGAAGGGCAGAGAAATTTTAATTAGTTGGGACCTTCACTACTTTAGGGGGCACAGCCTGAAGATTTTTGCACACTTCTATTGGCCAGCTGAAAGTAACACCGATTGGCTTATAGTGATCTCTGAATTGTTGCAGCATTCGGAGCTCAGTAAAATAGAAAGGATTGGATGGTCAGCTTCAAAACAGGTTGGAGAGTAGAAACAGAATCCTACAGCCATTTCCCAAGCTGATATCTACACCCAAATAAACAGACTGAAGAACAGGGACAAGAAAACTAGCCATTTTCTCTCAAATTTGCCATGCTGCTTCTTGCCATCTTATACTTACATGCTGTCCAAATATTTGTTTACATCTTCATCCTTTTCATAATCCTTACACAGTTGGGCGACCAAAGCACCGTAGGTGAGTACAAAAAGCTCTCTACTCTGTCAATAACAGGAAATACTGAATGAGAATTGAAGAAAAACATACAATCTTCTACTCCAAGAGCAAGAAGGCTATATAAATATCTTTGGGGAAAAAAACAGAGAACCCAGACAAAACCTAGGTTCACATATAATACAAATCCAAAAAGTGGTTTTGCTTTATCGCATTGAATGACCCCCATGATTGTGGCTTGTTAATCAGAGTTTATTATCACTCAATCTAAATGTGACTCCGGCCACAGCGGCCTGCTTTAATGCAATATGTCAATCCAGGGAGTGTCCATTGCACAACTGCATTTGTGCTGAAAAATAATACAACCATGTCTGCCAGTATGAATCCCTCAAATATCCCAGGATCCACTGACAAAAATTAGGATAGATGAATTAGTCAGTCTACATACCATGTGATGAGCTGATGCAGAGGATGAAATGGTAGGCAAATGCCAGTCCTATAACATAAAAAGAAGTAAAAGAAGAAGGAACACAAAAGATCTTGATTTTTTTTAAAAAAAATATTTTACTTTTTAAAGAACAATTTATGATGAATTGAAAAAACAATTCACTAATCAAAAGAAAAAATAGCAATAAATGACTTAATGAGAAATAATACCAATAAGAAGCACAATAGAATTTAGCTCTTAACTGGAGTTAGGAACTAGGCTTGCACCAGAATCAATTGTGTGTTAAGGCACTAGGCTAGAAACCAGGTGACAGTGAGTTCTAGTCCCACTTTAGGCATGAAAGTTGGCCTGGTAACTTGGGCCAGTCACTCTCTATCAATCCAACTCATCTCACAGACTTGTTGCTATGGGGAAAATAGCAGGAGAATGGAGTGTTAGCTATGTTAGTCGCTTTGAGTTATTTATTAAAATGATAAAAACGGGATATGTAAATTAATACATAAAATGTTTCTGTATACAATATTGCTTCAAATGCATATTTTCTTTTGGGCAATACAATATAGTGCCATGTTTTTCAATCTCAGCAACTTTAAGATGGATGGACTTTAAGACCGAGAATTCCCTTGAGATTATGAAATAGTGTTATGATATGAGTTTGCATGGGTGATATTTGCTTCTATTTGAGAGAAAAATATGACCAAAAATGTAAAAATACTGCCACTCCTGGTGCTGCCACCTGGTGGCCTAGAAGAAGAAAAATATGAAGACTTGTCCAAAATATCAGGAGATGAAATTATTGGAGAGGCAAAATGACAGTATCTTCAATAAAATTTCTGCTTGGACCATTCAAATATACATGCAGAACATCTATATTGGGATGGGGCAGTTGCCTCATGGAAAATTGCCTCAGCTGAAAACCAGCTCCTTACAAAACATCTTACTATCTTAAAGACAATTCAGTGTCAAACTGATTCAAAGAACTAGAAAAGTTTAAACATAAAAACAGGTACAAGTCAGAAAAGTCAAAACAAAATGTAGACCAACAACATCTTTTTCTTTCCCAGATTCTACTTGCACTGGGTATGGCTGAGAGATTAAACCTTACTGTTTGCACTGTTAAATACATTTTAATGAAATCATATAACTTGTCATGCATTCATCAAAATATACTGTACTTCTAAGATCTGGATTCACAGCCTTATGTAGCCAGAAGGAAAATTTCCTGGGGATCCTTGGAAAAAGGAAGGAAGGAAGGAAGGAAGGAAGGAAGGAAGGAAGGAAGGAAGGAAGGAAGGAAGGAAGGAAGGAAGGAAGGAAGGAAGGAAGAAAGGAAGGGCTGATAAGTAGAGAAGAGGAGAAATTATTTCAGGCATCTATGACCATCTATTGCCTCAGACTTTACTAAAAGAGTAGCATGCCATCAAAATCCATGAATGCCAGTTATTGTTACCATTATTAGCATCTGATGAGAACATGATGGAAGTGAAGTAAACATATACACACAACTCACATAATTTTATACAAAACTTCTATGGGGGACGGCAGTGGCCTCATAACTGATGAATGCCAGTGTTTTGTGGGTTTCCTGTAGATTCAATTTTGTGGAAAATCATCCTTGCCATAACCACAAGCACTGAAACTGGAAGTATGGTAAAAAGAGTTCTTTCTTCCCACTCACCTCATTTAAAAAGTAAACAGTGAAGACTTCACTAGTATACTGAATTCACAAAATACATTCAATAGGGATAATGAAGAATACCCCCTTAAAGTAGCAAACATAATAAAGTTTGGTGGGTGCTAGCAGATATACAAACAAGTCTTACGATTTTGGAGTTCTCTGGTCTTCTATTTGTTGGGTGTGCCATTCTTCTTGGACATTAGGAAGATACCAGCAGTTATTATATTCCTTCTGACTTAGATAGCATTTTTCCTCTGCTGCTTTGGTTGCTTGTTACTCCGTTTCTTCCTCAACCCTGGTCCTATTGCCCTTGCTACACCCTGGTTGTAGAACTCCGATGCTACAGATCCTGCTTTTTCCGATGCTCCTCCTCTTCTCGGTAAGCCTGAAGTCTTCCAACAGAAATGTGTTTGGCAAGGAATCCGGCTTACTTCAGTAAACAATCTGACTCAGATCGTTAACTGATCCATTAAACAAAACAGCCTGCAAATTACATGTAAAATGGCTATCTCTCTGCTTGAAGCTGCCACTGAGGGGATACTTTCAGAGAAGCTTTTAACAAGGCCCTGCCTTGTTCGTAATATTTTATGGCGGGGGCAAAGGACATTTTCCACTCTCCATCTTTCTTTGCCATTTTCTGAGGTGCTTTTAGGGCAAGCTTTTATAGCACATTTGCCCTAACTTAGTACGCAATTTAATGAGAATGTCAGACGAAAGCGCCTTCCATTTGTAAAACTTTGCTTCTTATTGTATCACTTTTTCCATAATCTCTTTCTTTCCTAGGTGTCCATCAGAGACAAAAGGGCTCAGTAGAGCTTTAGACCAAAAGAGCAAACACTCTTCCCTTTCAATTTCCATTAGACAATTCATGACCCCCCCCCTTTAGTTATTTCAGAGATATTTCCTTATCAGATTTCTCAATGCCTTCAACAATGGCAGAACTTCAACAATGGCAAACGTTCTTTTAAATTCAGGAGGATATTCAGAGGTACATCTGAATGTAGCCCACGTTGAACTGTATAGCACAATCAACTCCATCAGGAGTTGACTACAGGGAAAAAAAAATATTTTATGTTATGTCACAAAATGCTTTATGATCATTTTTATGTCATAAAGTATTGTATGAACGTTGCCAAACTTCAACTCCATAGGAATCCAGAGTCCTGGATTTTGGAAGCATTCTGTATGTTTGTTCATTTGACGTATTTTGGTTCAAAATGTTTTGCTCCACGGTGCACCGTTTTGCCCAGTTAAAGATGATAGGAAAGAGAGTTTTAGTAGGATATGGATAAAGAAAAGCCAGTAAGGAAGGAAAGAGAGGATGGTTTTTGACCGGTAACATCAAGGAATTCTCCCTTTGGAATTGCCCTAAGATATGGGAGCATAAACTGAGACATTAGAGCACTGACGGTTTAGCCTGAAGGTTCAGTCTAGAGAGCGAACTCACAGATTACTCTAAATATTCTGCCAAAATATAATTTTTAACATGGGAGAGCATGATTCAATACATAGCAAGTGATTAGTTATTTAAACAATACACTAAACAATTGATTAGCTACTTAACTCGTGGACTGCAAGATTTACAACACCCCCTAAAATATTAAATTTATTCAGCCCCCTGGTAATGAAGAAACCCAGTTAGGTTTCTTCATTACACAAGGTGACACAAGGTAAGAAATTGGGAGGTTGTGAGTTCAGTCCCCTAGCCCCGTCCCCAATAAAAGGTGCCCTCTTCCAGGATGACACAAGATGACCTCTGTAGGTGCATCAGCTGGGCTTTCTTTTGGAAAGGGAATCTTTGGAAGCCATAAGTGAAACAATGTGTGATGAAGCGAGGAGGAAGCCCAGGGCTATGGGACCTAGCTGGGCAGGAAGCAAGTGCAAGGCTGAGTGACCTGGCAGGGCAGGAAGCAGGCCAGTGGTGGGATTCTAAAAAATTTTACTACTGGTTCTGAGGGCGTGGTGTGTCTTGGTGGCTGTGACAGGGGAAGGATACTGCAAAATCTCCATTCCCTCCCCACCCCACTAACCTGCTTTCCAGCTCCGTTCTCCAATACAGGGCAACAAAAGAAGACCCAGCCAATCAGCTGGGACTCGGGAGGAAGAGAATAGATGGGGGTGGGGCCAGTCAGAGGTGGTATTTTCTGGTTCTCTGAAGTACTCAAAATTTCCACTACCGGTTCTCTAAAACTGGTCAGAACCTGCTGAATACCACCTCTGAAACAGGCTCAAGGCTGTGGGCCCAAAGCTGTGGGCCACATGGGAGGGTTGCTATGCAAGGTATGCCTCAGGGTAGGGGAGGCCCTGGGAGACCCAGCACAGGTGACATGTGAGTTGGGGGAGCAAGGCAGTGTGCACGGTCGGTGCAGTGTGCACAGTGAGCCTGAAATAAGAGTGTGGGCTTCCCGCATCCCAAAGCACCCCATGCTCCTTTTAATTACACATGTGGTTGCTTAACATTTGCAATGGGGAGACCTGGGATTGCAGTCACTGAGCAAGGCAGTCATGTTAGTATCTCTATTAAAGATAGCAATGACTTGTGATCATAATTCCCAGCTCAACTGTGGTTATAAGTCAAGGCCCTACTTGTAACTCAACCCTGAGCTAGAGACATTCTCGTCTAATAACAATAATATGAAGGCTGGGCAGAGAACCAATAGTAGGACCCCAAAGACATCATATTGCTTGTTCTTGTTCATTGAACTAGGGTGGACAAAATGTATGGCAAAGCAAGCAGAGTTTCAACAGAGTTTCTTCAAAATAAAGATGGTTATGCATCATTGCATAACTGAAGCCACATTGTACCTTTGGAGAACCACTTTTAGAGAGAGTGAAAATTCATGAGGTTGCTGTCACCTATTTTGACTTTATCTCCTCTATGCATGCCCCTTTTCCCTTATGATCAAGATCAACCAATGGAACACCTTGCCCTCGGAAGCTGTGGGAGCGTCATCACTTGAGACTTTTCAAGGAGAGATTGGACTGCCATCTGTCAGAAATGGTGTAGGGTCTCCCGCTTGGACTAGATGACCTATAAGGTCCTTACCAACTCTGATTATCTGTTATCCCAGCAGAACAGTGAGGGGTGGTTCAACATTGGCTTCTTAGCCACAATCCTGCAAATAATTGCCCTGTTTTATCTAAGGCCAATGGCTACAAAGGCAGGATTTTTGAAAAGCTTTCATTAAAAACACCTTTCTATTCTATGACTCCCTACCTCTGTGCTTAAAAAAAAATGATAATTTTTTTCATGAGTTTTCATGAAGACATATCCAATTTTTACTCAATGAATGTTTACTGATTTTTAGAAGTATACTGAATCTGCTTTTAAGGAGGTAGTACAATGTTAGAAAACAATGGACCACATCGAGACTACCCTCTTGTCAGCTGAATCATACCTTTTAATGTTATCCAATATTGCCATCTGGCTGCTTTGAAGTACTGCTGTGATTTATTCCTCTTCAATCTGAAAAAGATCTGAAAGACAGGGAATTGGATACATGTCATATAGAGTTTAAAATGGATTGTGCCTGATTGTAGAATCTTCTGAAGGTTTTCATTACTGAGGGAATAAGGTAGTGTGTCTATGGGAAAAGTTAAGTCTGTCTGTCATTTAAATCTCATTGATTTCAACAAAATTAAGACATGACTTAGTTCAGACCCAACACATTAGCTTCCACTAACTAACACGCCATGATGTTCCCAGGTGCCTGCAGATTTTCTCAGATATTTTATTTCCCAACTAGCTGAAACACACTACTAGAGTTGGGACGAGAGAATACATTGGTGATTAGAAGAATATTACTATTACTATTTATTATTTAATTTCATTGTTATTATAATGTTCCTTGTATTGATTTTTAATTTCTATACCATCCCGATCTTCTGGCGTGACAGAGTTTATAAATCTTACCAATAAATAATAAGTGCACTGAATTGCTTACTTTTCTTTTTGTTAACAGCTAATTGTGACAATTTCAGTGAACAATATAGCCTTAGCCTATTGTTCTTTCATCCTATATTCATGAATTATTGTATTTTTAAGCAAAATTGCAAATCAATGCTTCCATAAGCATAACCTAAAACTATTACTTTGGCTTTGGAGCTAGCCCAAATTGTGATCAGATGCATAAATCAGTTATTCCAAGTGGAGTCCTGAGGACAAAACAGCATTGGCTATGCATAACAGGAGAAATATCAGCAGATTCAGGGGAGTTTGCAAAAGTTTGCAAATAGTATCAAAGTGCTTAGAAACAAGATGCAAGAGAGAAAGACACAAAATAAGCACAGATAGAATTGAAATGCTGAAGTGCATGTGATGTTGTGATTTTCTGGAAACTGTTGAACTAATTTGTATAAGGTAATGTGCCTCAGAAAGAAAGCTACATTTTCTTGTTCATTTGGGTTGTATTTATTGACACTGACCAGTGAATTCCTTGTGGCAATATAAAAGGAAATTGATCTGCATCATTTGTTAAAAAAACAACAAACAAACTAGGGTACACTTAAGTGAGGTTCAGGCAATGTTATTTTATGCTAAAAATGTTATTGTTATTTAAAGACAATAACAACATGCTTACCATTAAATAAAAAACAAAACAAAAAGTACTAAAATCTGATATAATAATAAACTCTAGGAACCCAACCATACACATGTTGGAAAATATTACAAAGAAAAAGGAAGTCCTAGACAAATATTGTGAAAAGAAATTTTTTTCCACATTACTGTTGATGCTGCATGTTGATTTGATGGAGGGAAGGAAAATCAACTGAAATGGAGATTATAATGAAGTTTTGTGAAAGAGAGCGTGGTTGACTGAGAGTGAACAAAATCACACTGCAAGAGGGAAATTAATTTATAAACTCAGGAACAACATCTTCCACCACTGTTACCACATGTCTTTGATCACACATTCATGCAGATACTTATGTCTATGACTAGCCCATGGTTTTTATTTGTTTAAACTTAGAAGGCTGCCCAACTCCCAAATGACTCTGGGCACCTGTAAATTTAAAAGCAAGACAAATAATTACAAAAAATATGCATCCAGACAAAACACATATTCATTTATTTCATTAAATGAGTGATCATAGGATTGAATGCATGTCTATTAAAAAATAACTTGGGTGAGATAAAATGTGTATAGAATTACAATGTTAGTTTTCTTTGTCACGCATAATTGCTCCAATGATCTCTGCAGAATATTTTGCATAGATTTTACTTTTGTCCTTTTCTCTGCAAAATTGTATTTGATAATGCATTACATCACAATTGTGAATGGCCAATGTGGACTATTAAGTCATATATTACAGTAAACAAATAAATAAACAAGTCTACTACAACATAATGGCTACGCTAATATGGTGAGACATGATGGAGTTTGTTTTCATGTGTGTGTCTGAGGGTGCTTAACGGGTGGGATCTGACAGGGTTAACTACAGGCTCGGTGATTTATGAGGTTTGGTGATTTATGATGTGTTTCCCTGCACCCTGCACTTGCAAGCCTGTAAATCGTCATCAGCATGCTGCATGCAGAGAAGCAGCCTTTGAAAAAATACTTTTTTCCTGCTTTTTTAACTGCAGCTGTGCCTCCACGGCAGCTGAAGTTGAAAAATCAGGAAATAAAGGTCAGGTAAGAGTCCGAGCAGGTGGGTGGGAAAAATATCACCGGTTCTATGTCTGCTGCTCTTCAGAGCTACCAGTTCTACAGAGGTAAACAGAACCAGTAGAAACCCACCCCGGTACTTAATACAATGGGCAACCCAGAAATTATAGCTTAGTCCTATATATGCAAACCAGAGTATAGTGACTTTTTCATACATTTTGCACACAGCTCTCAAAGGGTCACTACCTCCAATATACACTACATTAACATGACAAATACATACATACATACATACAAAATTATGCAATACCCACATACATTATATGACACAGAAAACACAATGTAGTTCAGATAGATGGCAAAAAAACAAATCTTGCAAGTTTACCAGATGGATGGCATAGGGCTGTGATGGCGAACCTGGCACGTGTGCCAGAAGTGGCAGGCAGAGCCATTTCTGCCGGCATGCAAGCTGTCACCCGGAACAGGCCAACTGCGCATGTATGCGCGCCTCCCACCAGCCAGCCGATTGTCAGGTATATGCCGCCCATGCACAGGGGAGATGCGCGGGGAGATGCGAGCGCATGCGTAGGAGTGCAGGGTGCGTGGGGGGTGCCGCACTCACATGCGCAGGGGCATGGGGGGTCACACACATTGCATTATGGGTATTGCATTGCACTTTTGGCATGCAAAGACAAAAAGGTTAGCCATCACTGGCAAAGGAAACAAAGCTGTTACAGAATCTGTTAATCCTGCTAGAAATGTTTCAAAACCTCATCCAGAGGGGAGCAATAGAAACAGACCGGAAAGTGTGTGTGTGTGGTCTCTAACAATGTTTCGATCTCTAAGCACATAGTGCTTACAAGCAGTACTCTGAATAAGGGGAAGTGAACTTCCTATAATCTTCTCAGCTGTCTTTACCACTCTCTGTATGGACTTTCTATCTGAGGCACTGCTGCCACTAAACCAAACCGTGATGTAGTTTGTTAAATGTGGTTTACATTCAGATGCTTGATGCTTGACAAAACTAGTTCATATTTATGACAGTTGCAGTGGTTCCCAGGGTCATGAAATCACCTTTCATGACCTTCTGACAAGCAAAGTCAATGGGAAAGCCAGATTCACTTAACGGTGCTACTAATTTAACAACTGCAGTGATTCACTTAACAAAATGTGGCAAGAAAAGTTGTAAAATGGGGCAAAACTCACTTAACAAATTTCTCACTTAGCCACATAAATTTGGTCATAATTTGAGGGCTACCTGTATACAATGCTACAGAGTTAAAGATATTTCAGAAATATAACAAGACTTGCCTTTTAAAGAAGTAGCTTAAGGTTTGCACAACACCTGGTTTAGAATTTACACATGACTTGGCACTATTAGTTTTGTGGCACAGAGTTTCTTCCTTCCTTTTTTTTTTCTTTTTGAATTTGGCATAAATTAATAAGCATCCATTTCATCCCTTAAAATCCCCAAAACGTTTTGCCTCCCCGTGTTGCTCAAAACCAGGATTGCTGTCAAGCAGCAAAAAATCTGCCTCTCTGGCATTTACCAAGGAACCCATTTTTAGACATGGGACAAGATCTCACTGCTCGCCTACTGGCATTATATATTCAAGCTTCCCAGCAAAGATGGCCCAACAAAGACTTAGTATCTGTCAGGATGAGAAAGTTGCAATTAGAAGTTGCTGAGCTGTAAATGCTAAGACTTGCAGAAGGGCAAACTCAGAACAGTGAATGGATGGGCAGCTGGGACTGTTTCGTGTGAATTCGACGATTCCAGTACTTATTCCCAAGGCGGAGATCCTCGAAGCAGGATTTACTTAGGGAGTTCTTGTTGCATACAAGTTAGAGATCGTCTTCTGGGGGCTAAAGGGGGAACTGAGGGCGGCAGAAAGTTAGAAGAGGTTCCAAACTGAGTTGCATAACGAGAGGCACCGGCACAGCATCCAAACTGCTCCTTCGCCTTAGGGCTGCAAGAACTTTCTATCGCTATACGACCAAGAAAATCAAAACCGCTCATAGATAATAACGATTCCGAAACAAAACTGGGAAGTGTGATCAGGCAGCCAACGGAACCCCTCGGCCGCGGTTTAAAAGCTCCCGGCTGCACAAACCGGACGAGAATCTCTCTCTCTCTCTGGGAGAATGAGCAGATCAGCAGTTGTCCCCGGGAAGGCAGCCCTAATCAATCGACAGAAGAGCAACGGATCGCCTTCCAGGCCAAGGAGTTGCGACGGGTAGGGCGGGCGGTGCATTGCGCGTGCGTAGAGTGGCCTGACTCTCTCTTTCTCTCTCTCTCTCTCTCTCTCTTTTCCAGCCCCCGCCCTACCGGCTTCGCGGCTGCTGCGACATCTCCTGCGAGGGCTCCCCCTGCCGGCGGAGGCAATTAGCGGGTCGGCGCGTTCCATGGCCGGCGGCGGGGGATCATGACCGACTACGGGGAGGAACAGCGCAATGAGTTGGAGGCCTTGGAGGCCATCTATCCGGACTCCTTCACAGGTAGGGCAGCAAGTGGAAGTCGGCGCTGGGCGGCGCGTGGGTTCGCGGGATGACGGTGGCAGCGGCGGCTTGCAAGTTTCCAGCATGCGGTGAGGATTCTTTTGCCCCGCTTCTTCCTGTTAAAAAGACTTTTTCCCCCTTTCTTTCTGGACTAATCCGTCCAGAACTCGATCGAAGCAACCACTGGCCGCGTCGCAAACCTGGTGTGTTGTGAGAAGCCCGAGCGGGTTTCACTGGATCGTGTGACTCCAGAAAATCGGATAAAGAATCCAGCTATTTGAAGCTCGCTTTGGGTTTCCAGCTTTCCAAAGGATACGCTAGGCGGGCTCTGGTTCTCCTTTGGTACTGCAAGGAGAGGTTTTCTTTTTGTCTAATCTCATTTCTTTCTTCGGCAATTTATTGGGGAGCGGGGGTTTGCAAGAATAGGTTTAAGCTTCTTCGATGACTTGGCTTAGAGGAGCCTGCAACTCCTGTCCTCGGAAGTAGTCTCCTTAAAAAGTCATTCCTGCTTAGGTCCCGATGCCGTCATTCATTCATACTTGATTTGCTACACTCTTTGAATGTAAAAGCTGTTTATTAAAACATTTGTGATATAACCATCCTTTGGAATGTTAAAAAAAGAGTTTGGAATGAAGTTTACAGGAAAGGCATAGCCCAAAGTGCTTTAAAAACCGTAGAATGTAAGTTATCAGGTAGTGTTTTCTACCCAAGTCATGGTGGCTATGTAAGTGGTAACTGGCCAAACTTTGATGCACTCAGCCACAGAAACTCGCTGGATGATTTTGAACCAGTTTCTTTTTTTCTCAGTCCAGCCTAATATCCCAGGATAGTGTTGTGTGGACTCTATGGGCCACCTTGAATTCCTAAAGGAAAAGCAGTAGTGTATGTAAGATTCCTATCCTTTCACTCATCAGAAGCCTTCACCATTTTAATGGTCCTCCAATATTACTCCAATGTTACTCCAATTTGCCACTGTTCGTTTTGAATGGTGGTATCCAGGACTGGACGCAACACTCTAAATTATTTTTGAGCAGAGTAAAATAGAGAGGAAGAGTAATTTCTTATTTGAACTCTGTGCTTAATGAATCCTGAGGTGGCATTTGCTGTTTTAGCAGCTGCATCACCCTGATGGCTTGTGTTGAACTTGTAGTTGACAAGAATCTCCACATTCTTTTCATATGCACCAAATCAGCTGTCTTCAATCTTAGGCTTGTGTTTTATATATATATATTTCCTATCCAGACATAGCACTGTATATGCCTTGATTATATGCTGTATATGCCAAGATTATACCTTGTTCCTTTCTATCCTGTTCATTTCAGCCCATTATCTGGCTAGACCTTTAAAAATCTTTTTCTCTTCTAAAATATAAGCTACCCCTCCCAGCGCTGTGTCATCTGCAGATTTGATAAAGTGTCTCTTCAACTCCCTCATTCAATTAATTGATAAATATGATGAACAGCACAGGACCCAGGACAGAATCCTATGGCACTCCCATTTGACACTCCCCTCTAAGCTAAAATGGCACCCTTAATGCTTTATGATGTCATTTAACCAATTCTGATCCCATCTAACAGTATTATCTCGCTCATATTTTCTCGTTTTATTTGGAACGTATTGGGAGAGACATTGGCAGAGGTTTTGCTTAGCTCCAGGTGCATTATGACTACAGGTAGCTCTCAGCTTACAACCATTCGTTCAGCAACAATTTGAAGTTACAGCAGCACTGAAAACAAAGTGACTTACAACCTGTCCTCGCATGTACAATCATCACCGCACCCCCATGGCCACATGATCAACATTTGATTGCTTAACACCCAGCATATATTTATAATGGTTGCAACATCCCAGAGTCATGTAATTGCCATTTGCAACTTTCCCAGGGAGCTTCCGACAAGCAAAGTCAATGCGCGAAGCTCAGTATGTTTTATTTATTTATTTTAGAAAATTTATATTGCCGCCTGCTTGCACCTGGTGACTCAAGGCGGCTTACATGGATACAAACATTTTGCTTAACAACTGCAATGATTTGCTTAACAATTGTGGCAAAAAAGGTTGTAAAGTCAGGTGCCTCTCACTTAGCCATACCTTGCTTAGCGGTGGAGATTCTGGTTCCAATCATCATTGATTAAGTTGATGACTACCTGTATTGGATTTGCCTTATCTACTAGGTTAGTAATAGTAACTCAGTCAAAGAAGGAAATAAGTTTGGCATGAACTCTGCCATAAACCCCTGGTTGTTCTTGCTGATTGTAGAATGCCAATCCAATATTTATAAAACACTGTTTAACCATCTGTTTACAGTATAGATGTGAAGCTGACAGGTCCATACTTTTTGTATCCTTCTCATCCACTTAATATTGGAACAATATTTGCTCTCCTCCAATCTTCTGAGACCACACCTTCCTCTGAGAGTTTTCAAACATGACTAAAGAACAACCCTAGATATAATGGATTCATCTATTTCATGCTCTGTGTTCCAATCGCTTCCTGCTTGACCAAACTAATTAAAAGGAGTTCTGTGGTGTGATCATGACACCAAACAAATCCAGCAGACTCTGGATTCAGGATTCAGCCTCTGTGGAGAATGAATCTAGTGCCCATTTTTCTCTATGGCTTACCGATCCAGTGGCATCAAACTATACACATGCCCTTCCATCTAGAGGGTGTCAGGATCTTCACAATCCAATGTGGATTTCTCAGACTCTTTGTTCATTCAGTGAGTGCTGTCCAGCTAATAGCTCAGTGGTTTTTTTTTTTTTGCTTCTAAAGCATTTGGTCTAGCACTTTATTCCTCAGAGGGTACAGACTGTATAGATTTGACTTCAGGCTGCACTGATTGAAGGCATAAATTATCTTTTTTTAAAAATCATGTAAAAACAATCAGATTTACATATTAAATTGTTTTAAAGTGAAAAACAGAATTTCAGCAGTTTTTTAAACCGTTAGGATTAAACAATTTTACATGCCAAATTTGCAGTGGTATTGTTTAAAAAAAGCCATATGAAAAATATTTTTTCTTGTCGGTTCTTTTCTTCCACAGTGTTATCAGAAAACCCTACAAGTTTCACTATCACTGTGACATCTGAAGCGGGAGAAAATGATGAAAGTAAGTTGAATGCTTCTCAATGTTTATGTGGGAGGAGAAAAAAATCTCTCAGAGATAACAGTTTTGTACAAATAATTGAAAGTAAGAGCAGATTATTTCAGTATGGAGTAGTAACTGGCTTGGAAATCTGCGATGCTAATATTGGAGTGTGTCCGCAGAAAATCCAAGTTTAAATCCTTACTTGGAAATAAGCCACAGGATTGCTTTGGGCAAGTTGCTGCCCTGAAGTGGCTTCATTGGAGCCTTCCAATAAAGTGAAGGTGATGGTTTGACCAGGTTCCATGTTGCCTTCATCCTTGAGTCAATTGATCAAGGAACCTGAGATTCATGGTACAAGACAAGAAAAATGTTACTTGAATATAGTGAAGATAATTTCATTGTATTTTCAAATCCCAGATTACAAAGTTCAAAGCATACTTATAAGTAGAAAACAAACCACTTGTTTGAATGTAAATGAGTTGTTTATGAATTGAAGCGTATGCATATATTTGGAGACCAAAGGATATGTTAGATCTTGTCCTTCTAGCATAGAAAGAAAAATGGCCTCCAAAGGAGAGATCCAATGTGAAACTCCTCCAATAGGTGGCACCAGGAAATCAGAGTTGGGGAAAGAGGAGGCATTCCTAGGAGTAGATCAAGAACTTCTTCCTCTTCTGTTTTATCCCACATTTCTATGAATGTTAAAAGTTCAATAAAAGTAATTTTAAAAACCCTGAAAGGTGATTTAAAAAAGAAGGTAGAAACTGCTACTTCTCCTCATCTGCTGTCTGGCAGCAGGAATCCAACAGTGTTTTGAATGAAATGGATTGTTTTTCTTCTGATCTTCTCACAAGCAATAAAGATATTCCTAACTAAATGGTTAATATTAATAATTTCAGTTGGGCTGCTTTTTTTCTGTTCCACTACAGCTGTTCAGACGACTCTCAAATTCACCTGTTCAGAAAAGTATCCAGATGAAGTTCCATTATATGAATTGCTTGCGCATGAAAATCTTGAAAATAATGACATTGCAGACCTATTAAAACTATTGCAGGAACAGGTAAGAAATATTCAGAGCAAATTGTTTTTTCTTGATTATCAGTAGTTCTTTAGGTTTTATTCAGTGAGTAAAAATACGTGTGGCTTGAAAACCAGAAGGTTATGACAAAACTATCAGGATTAGATTTTTCAAGTTAAAGATTATTAGGTACTGCAGCTAACACAAATGAATGTAAGTACTTCATAATTTATTTTACAAAACTTGAACTCACTGGGTATTAGGTGGGAGAGAAGTTAGATTACCTTCTTATAGAAGATATAAGTGTTTATGTAATTTTGTAATAGCTACCAATTGTTGATGTTCATAAACTTTGAAATGCATTGTAGGGCTGAAAAAAAAATTCAGTGGCAACCCACCACATTTTTAAAAATTCCTTTTGCAAAATTTTTTGCTGCTATGAAAAGCATATGAATTAAAACTGAAAAGTTTTGTTGGTGATATGGTTTGTTATATATTTCTACCTACTTTGTATTGTGTTTTAAAGCCATTCTTAACACACTTCCTACATTTTGTGTAACAGAAATTATGATTTTAACTCCAAGTTCTTTGCAAGTAAAGTTATTTTCTTTTTGTATTTCAGGCAGAAGAGAATCTAGGCATGGTAATGATCTTCACACTGGTATCTGCTGTGCAAGAAAGACTGAATGAAATAGTAGATTTAATAAAAACAAGAAGAGAAGCAGAAAAGAAACAGAAGGAGAAAGAAGCAGAGGAGGCAGAAAAGGTGATAAAATTCATCAACACATTGATTATAAGAAAGAAAAAGTAGCATTTGCAGTATCTGAGTCTGTAACCTGATTTTTTTTACAGTGTTTCTAATCTGATACAGGGGTCACTGAAGAACAAGGGTGATATTGATGGATGGATGGATAGAGATAGATAGATAAATGGATGGATGGATAGGCCCACTCATCCAAAATCATGCAAGATTATACAATATAAACCCATGGATTGTGTTTCTTGTTCCATTCTAAGAATCCAGTAGCTTAATTGGTCTTTTTATAGACCAATATTCTGTTTAATGGAAGTATATATTTATATACATGTATGGGTGTGTGTACTGTGTGTGTACTGTGTGTTTGAACACACACACAGACTTGATGGTCTCTTTTCAGAAAGCAGGTGGGAAACATGAAGGAATTCAATATGACTATAAATGTTGAAGTCGATAAACTAAATCACCTGAACTCAAGTTGGGTAACATTATGGTGGTTAGAGAAATGTTGGGATGTTGTTTTAGACTGACCTATAATTAGGTAGGTCCAGTTTTAGGATACTTGCCAGCTATATAAATTTAATATTTGCTAAAGTGTAGTGATTTAAGGTAGTACGCTACGATCCTGGATACCATACATTCTAGTCCTGCCTTAAGCATGAAGTCATCTGGGTGACCTTAGCCAGTCACTTTCTGTCAACCCTAAGAGGAAACCAATGGAAAACCACTCCCTTAAAATCTTGCCAAAAAACCCCTGCAAGAACTGGTCTAAACAATATGTCAGAGTGTTTGCAGTGTGACTGCTATTGTGAAATAACCAAGGAGCAAAACACAGCACACAGAGGCTTAGACATTAGCAGTGGTTTATATACAAGACATATACAGAAATATACATGGTAGGCAAATACCTGACAAGCAATCAATCTTCTTAACTCTGTACAGAAAACTCTGCAATGGAGACAGGATACAAGGAGAGAGAAATACACACTCTAATGACTACTTTATATAAATACCTCTTAAAGTGGTAAAACTTCTGTGGATCCATACATAGTGTTAAAACAATATCTTTGCTGATTCATCCTTCTTGCATCAGTCTTACATTTCATCAGCCTTACATTGATTGCATCATTGCAGCAGCTGGTCAGTTCTTAAATCTCAATACCTTAACACAATACCCAGCAGTCAAAATGAATTCCAAGGTGTACATGCACACACATATATATATGTAAATGAAAGGCCACAAACAATTAGTTGCCCTTAGCAGAGGACAGGGAATATTTGTTATTCTGTTGGTTTATGGTTGCTGAATGACAGTCTTTTTAGCTTTCTCACCTCTTTTTAAATGGCTTATTAATATAGTGTGACAAATAAGGCTAATATAATCCCACGGTCTGTATGTGAAATCTTGGTTAGTTAGGTAAACTACCTACAGAACCACCAAAATGTTTATATGTGTATCTAATGACTATGAATATATTTTCATAGGATTATGTAATTACATACAGATTATTCTCAATTTAGGACTGTTATTTAGCCTAGAATTATGGTTGTAAGGTGTGCCGATTGTTAAGTGGACCATCATGTGACTGAGTTGATTTTACAACTTTGTTTTGCAGCCGTTGCAAATAACCAGGGTTGATAAGCAAATCCCTGGTTGTTAAATGAACACCACACTCGTTAAATAAACCTATTGTTTGCAATGAGCATTTTTTGCAAAAAATGGAAAGTAAACACCAGTTTCCAAGCAAACCCCACCCCCCTTCATTGTAAATCGCTATTATCTGACAACTGCAAATGGCCATAAATGTTGCTGAACGCCCAAAATATGATCACATGACTCTAGAGTGCATCTACAGTTACATTTGGCTGTGGATTTTCTTTAGTTGTGTTTGTTTGCTCCTTTGTTGTGCTATTTATTTATTTTATTTTGATTTATATAGCCATGATGGTGGTGATGATTACAACAACAACAACAATAATGGCTTTAAATCTTTGTATGCCACTTCTCACTTCCCAATAAAGAATCTCACAGTAATTGTTGTCAGTACTGTCCACAGAACTGTTTCGGCTGGGATTGTTGTTGCCTCTGTTTCCTAGCTGTTTATGTGAAAGTAGGTTTGACATATCAGAATTGGAAAGCTGGTGACATTATTAGGCTGTTCTTGTCCTTTGTTATGTTTTTTGGAACTTTATCTTATTCTTCTCCATTTGTGTAGCAATGCTTTCATGGCACCCCTGTCACTATTGAAAACTTTCTACGCTGGAAGGCAACATTTGATTTGGAACTTTTAGAAATTAAGAGAAAACAAATGAAAGAAGAAGAACAGTGCGGCAAAAATAAATTAACAGGTGGGATATAATTGTCTTATATAAGCCATGTGCCTGGTCTTGGATTGCTGGAGGATTTTTATTTTTTTCATTTGATATATGAAATCCACACAAGCCATATCAAATTGGTTAGTCATGAAACACAGAGCGGTGAAAAATATCAGTGTTCAAGAAAGCTGTCCAAATTATCCACAGAAATACAGAAGTTAAAAGTTGACACTGGTAAATGTTTGAATAGATATTTTTACTGGAGATGCGAAGAAATACAATGGTACTTCAGTACCCATGGTTAATTGATTCTGGGAGCACAATGAGTTATGAAAAGTGATGAGTCCCAAACAATTTTTTCCTGTAAGGAATAATGTAGTGAGTCACAATGTAGCTGACATCGATAAGTTCTATCTTGTATATTGAATATCAAACAAATGAGGATGGAGACAAAATTTTAATGTCAAAATGTGTTTACCAAATTCTTTGAGTTTCAGAGTAGTTGAGTATCAAAGTACCACAATATACAAAACTCCATACTTGAGTTGTACATGTTGCTAATACCATATACCCTAGTTCTATAAGAGATAAAGGTTATCAAACTCAGTAGGGGTCTTCTGTAGGTGCACTGTAATTTCCAAATTATAACTTTCAAGTAAGCTTGGATTTTTGTCTTAGTTTACCATTGTATTAAACACAGAAAGCCTAATTTTCTCTCATATAGTATACAAAAAATATATTAGGGGTAAGGAAGTGGAGAAAGCCTATGCACATAACCGTTTTATTTGCATGTGCACATCTAGACCAGACCCAAATTGTAACTAAGAGTCAGCCCCTAGGTGTAATGTATTACGTTTGTTTTAAGATAATTCAATTTAATGGCACCCCATATTATCTGATAGTGGAAATTATCTGGTCATCACTCTTCAGATTTCAAAGTTAAAAGTACTTTAGTTCCTGATTTTTGAATTGCATTTTCATTCTTCTGTGCCATCATAGCTTTATTTCCAGAGTTGCAATCTAAAGTGCGTGTGTGTGTATTCATTATACCACTATCCAAATCAATTTACTTCTTTTATTCCTTAATAGGAAAGCAGCTGTTTGAAACAGATCATAATCTTGATACGTCTGATATTCAGTTCTTAGAAGATGGTAACCTTCTATTATTTTTACTTTAATTACTATAGTAGTAGCTAACCTTTTTGGGCTCCCATGCCGAATGCGCGTAGCCCCCCCCCCGGTGCGGTGCGCGTCTCTATGCATGCGCGCGAGCCCCCCCATGCATGCACGCACATCTCCCCCCGCTCCCTGCATGCATGCCAGATAACTGACAATCAGCTGGTGAGCAAGCGGCGCGCACACATGTGCAGTGGGGCTCTTCCGGGCGACCTCTCGTGTTCCAGCAGAAATGGCTCTGCATGCCACTTCCAGTACGCATGCCATAGGCTTGCCATCACGGCTATAGGATATAATTTTAATGGTAAAAGCTATTTACTACTAAATATACTGGCATTTACCACTAACTGTACTGGTATTTTCATATCAATTGGCTAAATTTTGCCTCCAATGCTACAGTAATAAAGTGGAATAAGCTACTTATATGCTTTTGGAAACAGGCAGTTACTTCTGGTTCAGGGTAATGTGAAATCTGAGAGATATCCCTTTAACCAAAATATGTTCTTACATCTGTATCTGCCCTTTTGTGATAATGAGCCTCTAGCACAGGGGTGTCAAACTCACATCACAGTGGCGTCATGTGACATATTGAGACCTTTCCCCCTTTGCTAAACCGGGCGTGGGGGTGGCTAGCACTGATATATCCGGCCCACAGGCCAGGACTTTAACAGCCTTGCCAGAAAGGAAAAAGCTAACTGAGCAAGCATGTCTGCTTATGTGGATGTAAAATGCTAAGTTTTAGCTGAAATCAAATAACATTGGATCTGGCTTAAACTTAGAATATGTCTGAAAAACTCCAATTTTAATACCTGAAATATCTTTACTTAAAATTAATTGTGCCCAGACAACACGCTGTTCAGATAAACATGGAATTGTTTTATGTTCTTTAAAAGGAAAACGTACCAATAAAACATATATTCAAAAAAAGCCCCCAAACACCTGAAATATTCCCGATCCTTTATAGGATTCCATTTTGCTGATATCACATACAATTTTTATTTTTAAAAAAATGTTTTGCTTCAACCATGAAGGCAAATAACTTACAAAAATC